TCCTACAGTTTCTGCTGATACTGATGTGTGACTGAAATGTCAATACCAAATACCAGATGACACCAACCAAGTTTACCTGCATGACTGACAAAACAGAGCTGTATTTTCTCCCCTTGTCTGTATAATGGCACTTGACCTAGCCAGTTACTTGCAGCTGTGCCCACTGAGGTCCAAATCCTTCATAAATTGTATCTTCTTTTGAACTTCAACATAACAATATATTCTCCAATTCTCCAATATATTACCAATTGCATTTGTTGTAACAATAAATCCCAGAATCATGGAAGAAACACCAAGAGAGGAAATAAGCAGTGTGTTTTCATTTCTAGCATTGCTGTCAGAAGATAATCTTATCAAGAGGTCTGGCTTGCCATCAAAATAATCCCATTAGGCACCGTCCCCATGCCAGGTGCAGCTCTCTCACTAAAGCATAATCTTGTAATAATAAAAATGCTTTACCTGACTGAGAAATGGTTAGGAAACACAAGCAGGTTGTCACATATTTGGGAGTGAGAAGCATCAAGCCCAGGGCCATGAGTGGCCATACTCAAATTTTAACTAGGGGAGTAGGCTATTCAGCTCACAAGTGTGGAAGATGGAACCTGAACAGTAGCAGGCAGAGGTTCTTGCATTTATACCAGGCCTGGGCAACCCAGAGACTTTTGTGCTGCCTGCCTATTGAAGAGCCCAGGATTGCTCTCTTGTATCTTGTTTTATGTGGTGGAGAATGATTTGGACTTGCATTTAAATCTGTTTCGCCAAGAACTTATTAGACCCTTTGGTATTCTCCTGGATTAGAGAATGATCTACCTTCACAAGGTTGTGATATGGACAATAGCCATCCAGGCTGCACAATGCCTATTAAGGGCAATACTGGAATTTAGCTTTTCAGCAACATTCTACAGGCTACAGGAAAATATTTGCCGCATATTCATTATATGCAAGCCTTTAATTCTACAAGGTTCTATTTAGGTGTTTTAAAAATCCCTGCTAGACATCGGAAGCAACTCTGCTTTATCAATTATACATGTGCTTTTGCTAGGAAGCTCTTAGGGAATGAAATATATTAACTGCTTCTGTTTAATCAGCACTAAGATGCAAATATTTGCACTGCAAGTTAACATGGACTTCAGGCAGACCAGAGGCACTGACTGAAGGCACAAACTTAAGTTATTAATTACCGCAGACCACCAACGTAAGTGCTATAAGCAATGCTGCATTTCAACTATGCATCTAGTTTGCTTTGCAAACATGGTTTAGAGCAGGAAAAGGCCATGAATTATAGCAGCACCAGTGTAAATATTTTTCTTTCACAGGCACTACAGAAATTGCAATGATTATGCTTAACCACTTTGTTGGAAACTAGCAACTTCCATCTGTTTTGGTCCCCTAGAGATATAATCCACTAAAAAAAATCTAGTTTGTAGACCAGCTTTTTATAAATTCTGTTCAAGGTTTACTTAACGTGTTCATTCCCGAGTTTAAGCCTGGCTGCTGCTGTTCTTTGTGTGCCAATCACACTGATACAGGCATTTAAACATAGGTATTAGTACAGATTCCCAATGAAATAAACTGTTTGCTTAGGATAGATTCAATCCATTCATTGTATACATGTATAATTAAGTTGATTAAGTTGAACTTGACTTAGAACACTTGTAACAATTTCCTTTGAACACTCGAATGGCTACATTTGAACAATCATGTCTCAGCTTAATAAACAAAGATATACACAAATTTCATTTATTTCAAAAATAAACTCCTCAGCCAGAGGCTAACAGAGCAGCTTATAAACCTGGTATTCAAGCTTGAAATGATCAACACAAAGAAAATGGATTAGGAGGATGAAACCTGAATTTGATTGTTTTCATGTTCTTAGTTACAAGTTGTTCTAATGACCAGCTGTTTGTTAATTCAAGGAGATGAGACACAGGTGCCAGAAGCTGCTGGTCTCTCAGCTGCACTGATGTAGTAGCCCTGACTTGCTTCTCCTCCCTCCTCTGCTACAGCCTGATGTAATGACTATTGGGTCCAGACATAGCCATTTGCTCCTCCTTGCTCATGCAAGTAAGGAAACCAGGAAGCCTCTATTAACCATAGCTTCCTGATGTATCTGAACCAGGAACTATGGACAATGGCTTCCAACAATCCAAAATATGGAAGCCAACTTTAAACCACGGCTCCTTATTCTGGCCTGTTTGGAAGCTATAAACCATGGTTACTAGTTCAGATGCACCAGGAAGCTGCGGTCAACTGAATTCTTGGCTTGTTTCCACACTCATGCAAGAGAGAAAAGTAAAGCAGCTGCATTAAACTAATGCATTTCCAACCTTAAGCTAAGATTTGCATCAATCCGAATACAGTCATTGCCAAATTCTTCATATGGGCCAGTCCAGGTAATGTGTGACAGAAGATTCAAACAATTCATAGCTTATTGGAAATCATGAGAATACTCATTCCTCCAGCTGACTCTTCTCATAGCTAGTATGATCAAAGCTGCTTTCACAACATTCTATTCAAATTTTAAAAATCATTGCCCAGCCCCTGAAAAGTCATGAGACGAGCCTAGACATGTAGTTAAAGGCTAATGAGAGGATATTCCTGTTTTCAATACATTATCACTTTTCCACAATAGAAGGGATGTAAAAGATGTGATCCTCCAGTCCCTGGATTCCTCAGGGCTGGTACATCCCCGATGACAATATGGGTGTGTAACAGATTGTGCAATAAGGCTCTTGTTTACAAGTCAAAAGCTTTCAAAACTCCAAAATATGTGACTTCATATATAAAAAGTACCATGCCTTTAAAAATGATCCCATGTAGCTCCTTATTATTCCCACAAAAAAAAACCAGCATTGCAGAAGTAGAAGCAAGAAATCAAGCAAACACTTTTTACACTATCTCCAACAGCAATTGAGTAATGGACTATTCATAGCTTGTATGAAGTAGTATTTCAAAAGAAAATGACTTCATCCAGATTCATTCAAGTTGCCACCTCTTATTCCCAGCCCAAGACTTCTGCTCTGAGTGAGAGGGAGCTAAGAATGAGTATTACAGAAGCAGGGAAGAATGCAGAAAACAGGAAGATTTTATTATTGGAGCACTTGGAAACAGCTCTTGCTTTGAAAAATACACTTCTCATAATTAAAAAGTTTTAGTGAATGTTAAGGTCGGAGTATCTGGTAAAACCGAACAAGGCAAGGTTGAGACCAAAGTACACTCCTCAAAGGCCATTTTTATATATCATTTGATGTACTCTCGACCCTACTGGAAACCAGAAATGTTTATGTTTTTATTTATGGAACCAAGTCTTTATCCTCTCTGAAATGATGTCCACAATTAACTTGTTATAGGGAAATGAACAGGAAACAGAAGAGTGAAACTGAATGGAAAGAAGGAAGATTCGCATCTATAACTTAACTTTGCAACACAGGAGTCTCTTTCAGAATACTGTACATAGTGATCAACACATCATAAAAATTGGAAGTAGTAGTTTGCAGATTATGACATATGTGATTTAGCTGGTTCCTAAGTCTACAGCTACAGAATCTTTGAAAAGAGGTAGGTAGGGAAGTGCCTGGACCGGCTAGCTGCAGGCGGGGGGGACCTCCCTCTGTGAAAAAGCTAACAAGACAATAGGATCTTCAAATTGGAGATCATCATGTATGACGCGAAGGATGCCCAAAATCAAACAAGGAAAGAGGACTGAATATACAAACCAAGTACAGTGGTACCTCAGGTTACATACGCTTCAGGTTACATATACTTCAGGTTACAGACTCCGCTAACCCAGAAATAGTACCTCAGGTTAAGAACTTTGATTCAGGATGAGAACAGAAATCGTGCCCCGGCGGTGCTGCAGCAGCAGGAGGCCCCATTAGCTAAAGTGGTGCTTCAGGTTAAGAACAGTTTCAGGTTAAGAATGGACCTCCAGAACGAAATAAGTACATAACCAGAGGTACCACTGTATAGACAACCTTCAGGGGATATATGGGTTAGACTGAAAGACAACTAAGGATTAGCTGAGGAATGTTGGGATGGAAGGACTCCAGCCTCCATGTCACAAAATCAAAAGACCTGCAGGGGAAAAGCTTTCCGACCCCATCACCAAACTGACAAATTGCACGACAGAATTGTATTTTTATGAAGAATGTGCAGCAGAACCCACAGAGAAAGAGGGATATGAGAAGTCAGTGTCAGGCTGATCAGTACCCATGCTATTTATGAAGTTCCAGAGTCTTCATTTCTATAATAAAGTATGGAATAAGCTATATCTAGCCAACAGGTTTAAAGGCACAGAGATGAAGAGATGACTGTGTGGAAGGGCGAGGAGAATCTGTCCATACAACACACATAGTTTTGCTACTTACACAATTTCCTTGTCTTATACTCAACCCACGGAACACTTCCTTGGAAGTTAAGTCCCGCTGAGTTCACTGGGAATTATTTCCAAATACCCACGCACAGAACCAGACTGTCCCTCCCCAAACTCCAGTTCTGGACACAGCCCAGCAGCCTCTCCTGGAGAGGGAACGCCATAGGGAAATGCTGAGATTGAGAACTGCTGCGGGGTATTGCAGAAAGCAAAGTCGACTCCCTCAACGAGGAAAAGAGGGAGCGGCCCCCACCATGGACTAAAAACCAGTTGCTCGGCCCCCACTCCCTTGCCTCAGATCTTCAACGGGCTCTTTCGCCGAGTATGTAGAAGCTGAAGGTTAAGACCAAGGATGAGAGCAAGAAATGACACATCCGAGGCACCTCGCGCTATTTCTGTTCCCAGGCACCAAATTTGCATGCGGCTTCTACTGCCATAATGTTTTGTAAGCCGCTTTGAGAGCCCCCCGGGATTATTAAATAATAATAGATGGCGATGTGGAGTAAGGCGAGTCAAGTCGACTCCCTCAATAAGGAGCAGGGATGAACCACACACTACCCGAGGGGGGGATGCTTAATAAAGGCTGGGGGGGGAGGGAAGCCCACCTCCCCCAGGGAACACCTTTTACCTTGACGAAGAGCTCGATGAGAGGCTGCTTGTCGCCCTCTTCCTTCACCCCGTTGACCGGCACCGAGAGCGCCATGCTCTGTCCTCCTCGCTCGGCCACCCGCTCTGCGTGGAGACTGACCGGCGGCGACGCCCTGCGAGCAAGCGAGAAAACTCCTCCCTTCACTCACTCACTCACTCAGCCGGTCCTTCGCTCGCCTGCCCGTCTGGCTCCCCTCACGGCTTGTGCGAGCGCGCCGGCGAGTGCGAGGGAGGGAGGGAGGGAGCGCCCGGTGGATTCCGCTCTTTCTCTCTCTCTCCCTGCCTCCTGGGCTTCAGCGCCGTCGAACAAGGCGGGACCGCGACTGAGGAGCCGTTTCGAGAGACGCCGCCTATTTATACCAAGGGGCGGGGATTGAGCCGCGAAAGGGGCGTGGCAGACCGCCGGGAGGGGTGCAAGGAGCAAGCGAAGGAAACAAACAGCGACGGATAAAGGTTGGGAAGACACCGCCTAATAATATTTGTCGGCTGCCAGGGCGGGGCCTGTGCTGTGAAGGAGGCGTGGCTTAGGACATCAACCCGCCCCCGGCGGCAAAGAGGCGGGACTCTGACGATAGAGAAGCACCGAATGATCCTATTGACGTGGGTATGGCCAGAGCAGGGTGCGCGTGTTTGAGGGGAAAGGGGGGGCGTGACTGTAGTGGGGAGACTCCCGCCGCCTTTCCCCGACTCAACCCAGGCGAGGGGAAAGAGGGGGCGTGGCCTGACTTCGCTGCGGAGCAGGGGGAGCGTTTGTCTGGGCTGGTGATAGGCAGGGTTACAATGCGAAGGAGCGGGGGCTGTGGTGCGGGTGAAGGTCTCCTTGCATAAAACTCAGGAACAAGTTTCTAGTCCACGTGTTTGTCTATTCATAACCTTCCCTTTTAATGTATAACTTGGCTCAGAATCAGTATCAGATTAAAAGAGTAACAAAAATAACAAACCCACAAAATCAAACCATTTCCAGGGGAATAGCTGCGCCAGTCATTTGCAGCAAAAACCATAGAACCTTGTGGCCTCTTAACGAATTTATTCGTGCATAAGCTTTCATAGACTTAAGACCATTGTTATTGTTACTATTTATTTCATGTATTGCTACCCGCAAAGCATCCCAAAGCCCCTGGCGATGGGAAACGGGTTCCAGCAGCATCTGGCAGCACACAACTGCCTCCCCATTGCTATGGTCTTCAGCCAGCATACCTGCAGGTATAGGGTGGTATACTAATTAATAACAACACTTTAAGGCAAGTGGTTTTCAACCAGTGCCGTGACACCCTGGGGTGCCCTGGAGATAGTCCCTCTTCCCTTCCTCCTCTGATGCCTTTTCACCTCTCTGCTTCCCAAAGGCTTGCACAGCTGTTTGTTGCAGCAGCCATGGCTACAAGCTCCCCATGGTGCCTCTGGGGCTGTCCAAGATGTGCTTCCCAGGCCCCTGTGGGACAGTGTGAGGGGGTACAGTGAAACCGTTCTTATCCTGAGGTGCGCTTTTGCTAATGGGGCCTCCCGCCGATGCACGATTTCCATTCGCATCCTGGGGCAAAGTTTGCAACCAGAAGCAGCTACTTCCAGGTTAGTGGAGCTCGGAATTCGTAACCTGAAATGTTCATAACCAGAAGCGTTCGTAACCAGAGGTACCACTGTACCTCTCTTTGGGGCGGGAAGGGGCCGGCTCAGAGACCAGGGGCAGCTGCCCAGAGTACTCCCAAGGAGAGGGTGGGGGGAAGCTGAGGGAACACTCCACAAGGGAGGATGTTTGAAAAAGGGTGAGAGGCTGCCAGCTCTGCAGGCAAGTGGTGACATAACTGGACTCCTGAGCCCCACAGGGGTGCCAAAGAAAGAATGTCAAGGGAACCATGGACTCAAAAAGGTTGAAAACCTCTGCCTTAAGGACAGGACTGTGCCCTAAGTGTAGAATAGGTTTTTAAAGATAATTGTGAGTTATGTTTAGCAAATACAGCTGCATGCACATGCTCCAGCTGTTCCGATTTTCCAGGCACAATCCCTATTTTCTGGTCCTTTTTCCCTAGTAGAATGCTGTCCTTTTTCTTTCCTTCTTTCCTTATTTCTTTTTGAAAAGCCTTGTTCTCAGCTTGATCTGCAAATGTTATCATTCTGAAGGGTTCAGCTACCACTCCAGCATCTCTGGAACTTAGACCTCAGAGTAGGACATGGGTGTTTAAGACAGTAATCTTTTGCATTGGGAAGAAAGAAACACGGCACATTTGTGAAATCTGAAGTCTGCTTTGGGATATTCAGATGAAAGGAAGTATACAAATTTAATAATAATGATTATGATGATGAATTGTTTCTTTATTAATGTACATTAATTCCACTCTGTTTAGCCTACTTGAGCATAACTAAGATTGAATACAATTATTTGTGTCAGTTTGCATTGCTATAGCTTTTAATTTCTACTGAGTTTCATTTGGATGCAATTTCAGAGGGAGTAGGATCACATATGAGTGACAAATAATATTCTGATTGACTTGCAACCACTATAGTGTCCCATTCCATCTTTGATGTTCACTCGCTGCCCCCCTGACTGTTCATGGATGCCATCCCACAAACCTTATAAATCTGCTAGCATCTCATCCTATTCTCATGAACCATGCTCATACCACACCCAGTGCTAATTTGGGAGTATGACTTTTGCTTTTCTATTTTGAATAAAAGCAAAATCTTTTATTTCCCTACATAAGGGAGGGACAAGCATAGACCGCCAGAGCAAGCCGGCTGGTGCAGTGCCCAATGACCTAATGTCTGGGACCAGCCACCGCATGGGCCTGTGCTTGGAAAGAAGGCGGGCAGGAAACCAACTTCCTCCTGTGACTCCTTCATCCCACAGCAGGATTTGAGGTTGAAAATTGCTCAGAGCAGCTGCTGTAATACCTGTGAGATGAGCAAATCCTTCCCTATGCAATCTAATTTGATTAGTGCTGGACTCAGTAGCAAAACAGTAACTGCTTTTCGTTCACAACCCTATACTGAAAGTTAGGGATGGGTGACTGTCAGTTTCAGTTTCTTGCTATTCTTGCTATTTCTCATTTTTATAAGCTTAAGTTCAGTTCTCCACATTTTGGCAACCAACTCTTGAGTTCTGTGCAAGTCGAGTATATCAGAAACTTCTATTTCAATCAAAATAATTATTTTAAAAGGCCGTGTGGACAGGCAGAGAAATACCTACTGTATGTGCATACTCACAATGTACCTCAACTTTCCAGGACTCAGGGAAAGCAGAGAAATACTAGTTGTGGGGAGCAAACAACAACAGCCAGTGTGATACATCCCATCATGCACCACCCACTAGTGTGAAAAGGAACCATTGAGCTGGAGTTCAATTGAAAGTGCACAAGTGTAGAAAAAAGTGGACAAAAGCACACACTGAAAAATAGGATCAGTGTGACCCACATACATGTTAACAGGCAGGTGTATATACACTCTGAATTATTTCCCTGCTTTTGTTAAGAAGGATCCGTTTAGTGTTGGCATACCAAGTGGCTACCAGCCAGATTATTTCTGGCCAGCTGTATAAGCTCTCCACCCACTTTCTCTGACATCCGCTGAGCTCTTTTCTTGTTATCAGCCTGACCTTTTCTTTTTCAACGGATCCACTCTCCAGCTCTTGCGCTCTAAAGCAGCAGCATGGGGGAGGGCGGGCAGTGCTGACTTTCTCCAACATGAAACTTAACAAAAATGTGGAATCTAGATTTCAAGTGTGATCTCGGCCAGGGTTGGGCAGAAGAATAGTCTGTTAGAATCTCCGGTGTTCTAGAGGCTCAGGCCTTCCACAGAAGTTGAATCTCCAGGCTCTGCCCCACAGCTGTAGGCCTATGCAGAGCCGGCTCTACCATTAGGCAGAATGAAGTAAACGCCTCGGGTGGTATATGATTGTGGGCAATGGTGGTGCCTCCCCCAACAGCCATTTCTTCCAAGCCTGCTGCTTATTCCTTACTGTTAGAGGACAGCCTCTCATACACCCCTAAACAGCCTGGTGCCCTGAGGTGCAGTGGAGGACATTGTTCCAGTTGTATAGATGGAATTTGTCCTTGCCTTAGGCAGCAAAATGTATTGTGCCAGGCAGACATTTAATAAGCCCTTAATTTCAGCGCAGGGCCCTAGCCACCTGTAAATTCGGCCCACAAGCCTAGATCTTGATAAGGATATGGTCTAAGGAGTCAAAAGGTTCCCCACTGGTTCTGCCTCCACTATCATAGGAAGTGCGCCTCTGAATACTACTTGCTGAGAATCACAAGTGCAGGTAGCACTGTTTTACTCACATCCTACTTGGGGGCTTCACTTCATAGGCATCTGGTTGGCTGCTATGAAAAAAAATGCTGGAGTAGGTGGGCCCTTGTTTCCAGCAGGGTTCGTCTCATATTTTTATTATCTCAAAGGGTGCAAGGCCCCCTCTCCAAGAAGGGTCAATAAATCTTTGACCTGGCAGCATTCATAATACAAGTACTTATTCATTTTGAAGCTCCTGAATTCCACGAACAAAGACTGCAAGCAAATAAATGAGTTTTCATTGCAGCTGGACTTTGAACTATCAGTGCTGCACCACTGACACATATGGCTATCCTTAGAGCAGCCTTCCCCAACCTGATGACCTCTATGTTAGGTGAACTACAACTCCCATTATCCCAGATCTTTGGCTTTGCTGGCTAGGGCTGATGGGAGTAGGAGTCCAACAGTATCCAGCAGACACCATGCTGGGGAAAGCATTGATGCCATTGTTGCTTCCCACAGGGAGCAAGGCAGAGTTAAACATGTGTTTTTCGGCTCAGCAACCTATTGTACTCAAGGAGATGTAGACACAAAGAGAGTATTGTTCTTTAGGGGCATGGGGCCCTGGCATCAAGGCCCAGCAGGAGCTCCCAGCTGATGGAAGCATTAATGCAGGCCTGCTTCTTCCCCTAGCAAATCCCACTGCCTTTCCTGAATAATTTGCCTGGGAAATCTTTGCATTAAATGTGAAGGAGGCATATAGGCTTATACGACATGCTGAGCATCTCCCATCTTGCTGTGCCCCTTCGGGCCCAAGTCCGTTGCAAATGCCTCTGCAATGCTGCCGGTCTCTGTATTTACCATGGACAGTCCTCGGTTTTTGGCTCTTATCCTTCACAAGCTACTGCTCCCATTTTGTGGGATTTTGCCTTTTCTGAAAAATTTAACAATGTATTTAAGGGGGGGGAAGCTTGGAATAAACCCTGCATACCCCTGAAGTTCAGTCAGCCTTGACTAGGAATTGAGCCTTGAATGTGGAAAGCCAGCCCTGCCCTGTGGAACTCCCTGCCAATAGAGGCTCAGCAGGAATCATCTAGCCTTTCATACAAGCCAGGGGTTCTCAAATTATAATCTGTGGACCTCTGATGGTCTGCAAGCTTCATTCGGCTGGTTCGTAGGCTTGTCTCTGAAGAACACTTAAAATCTGAATTCTATTGAATTCAAATTGTAA